CCCATCGGCCGATATTCAGAGGAGGCGGTGCTTGTCCAGGGAGCCCTCTGGGAAGGTTGGCCACTTACTCCGGCGACGCGGGGATATTTCGCAGTGTTCCTCGCGTGGAACTGCTTTCAGAAGCCTCAGGGATGCCTAGTCCTCCGGACGCCAAGATGGAATGAAAGCCCCTCGCCAGGCCCCTTGCTCAGATGCCCCCAGGATGACCTAGGCCAGAATCACTTGTGGCGCCTAGAAACAGAAACAGAAACAGGAACGTGAGTTTCTAGAAAGGGTGAGGAAGCAAATAGGACCAAGAAGTTGCTCTACCTGAACATAAGAATACAAACTGAACTTAAAAAAAAAAAAAAGACTGAAAGGACATATAACCAAAAATCATCACATAGTTACATTAAAATAATAGAAATCACAATGATTTTCTAATTTCTACTTTTTTTGTATTTTCCCATTGTGAGAGTGAACCAGCGATCTTTTCTGTCAAAGAAAGGAGTTCCCCCCGCTGTCATGGGTTCCGCCATTTTGATTTGACCTTCAGATTCTCAGGGGGTCGCCATCTTAGGCTCCGCCTCACCCGCCCCTTCCTCTTCCCGGAGGGACTTCCCGTTTGGGGTGCCCTGCCCATGATTTTCAGCCTGTGACTGAACCCTTCTGAAGAAGTAAATCTGCCCTGCCAATCCACTTTTGAGTGTTTGTCTCATTCCTGTGAAACTATTGACCAGCGTTTCTAACACAATTTTTCTTTTTAAATTACATTTGACATGCAATATTATATTAGTTTCATGTGTACAACGCTGTGATTAGGCATTTATGTAACTTATGAAGTGATCACTCCAATAAATCTGATACCCATCTGACACCATATATAGTTATTACAATATTATTGACTATATTCCTTATGCTGTACTAATTTGTACTTCTAAATTCCTTCACTTTTTTCACTCATCCCATCAACCCACCCTCCCCCATCTGGCAACCTTCAAAATGTTTTATATATCTATGATTCTTTTTCTGTCCTGCTTGTTTGTTTTGTTTTTAGTTTGCACATATAAGTTAAATCATCTGACATTTGTCATTTTCTGTCTGACTTATTGCACTCATTACAATACCTTCTAGTTAGGTCCACTCATGCTGCTACAGATGACAAAATTTCATTTCTTTTTATGGCTGCATCATATTCCATTGTATATATGCCCCACTTCTTTATCCACTCATTTATTGATGGACACTTAAGTTGCTTCCATATCTTGGCTATCCTAATATATAAAAACCCAGGGTCCATAATGACTGACTGAAGGCTCCACCGAACACCAGAAGTCAGTCCTGCAGTCAGTGCTGGGTTGCCATGGCGACCCAGCACTGACTACCAAGGGGACTGTGGATCAAACCCAGAGAGAGGCCCGCAGAGAGAGGCAGGGTCTGATCCGCAGCCTCTGTGGCAGCTGTTGATTAGCCATTGTCTCTCTCTTTCTCTCTGGGCTTCGCCAGCAGCCAAGCCTCTGTTTCTCTCCAGGCCTCCACAGTGGGGGTGTAGATGGGGTGCTGCTGATCAGCCCTGCCTCTCTGATCAGGCCCAGAGATAGGCCTAGAGACGCTGACTGGCATAGAAACCAACCAATCAGAACCAAATCTGGGTGAACTGTGAGGATCCAATGGCTGCCTAGGAGACGAAGCTTTTGACACTGACTGGCATAGAACCCAACCAATTGGAACCAAATTGGCTGGCAGGAGAGGGCAGTTGGTGAGATCAGGCTGGCAGGAAAGAGCAGTTAGGGGTGATTAGACCGACAGGGGAGAGCAGTAGGGG